TCGCCGCCGAGTGCAAATTTCGCGTTACGTCTGCCGTGCTAATGCTATTAGCGTACATCGCGAAAAGTTTCGTTCCTCGCGAAAGGCGGGGACTCTAATTCGATTAAAACTCGCGCCTCCGACAAAACTGCTGACACTTTTAATATGCCAGCGTACATGTATATATATAAATATATATATGTGTGTGTATGTGTTTCCCAACTTTCCAACAACAATCATGCAAACCGAATACTAAGGCACACAGGGCACAATACGCGGCGAGAGATTTAATATTTACCGAGATTAGGAAAAATCTCTAAATCTTCTTGACACGTATTTCTCTTGGTATACAAAACCGGAAATGTACAAGATATCGTTCGTACGTCGATAATTCGACATTCCGCATCGTGGTAATTAAAACACAAGCGGTGGACAAGTTGAAAGTACAGACGTTTGTGGTATAATTCCAAATGGCGCAAGCGTTAATTATAAAGCGATACGCATATATAATTTGCAGAGAGCCCGGACGTAATGCGGGCGAAACGCATAGAGAGGGCCGGTGTAAATAATGATGTAGTATTATTTACGCTAGTGGTGCGCCGCGACGTGCAGTGATGTAATTGCGCTTCGGTCTAATTGCGATTCGCGCCTGAGAGCACGACGCGTATACTCGTACGCGTGCAACGCGAAACAAGAATTCGCGTGTGATTTTCTTGTGATATTACGTTTCTCTCTTTTTTTCCTTCGCGTCACATCTCTTTCTACGCGCAACGATTGTAGTATCGGGGATACGGTCAATGAGTGTACGTTTTGTCGTTCGTATAGTGATCGGTAACGACGTCGTGTCGAAAAGATGTCGCGTAATCAAACAATATGTTCGTCGTACACGCGCACACACACATACATGTTCGTCGAACAAAAGTGCGTGAGCGCCACCGGCCGTGAAACATAATCGAGTTATCGCGTAAAATGTAGTACCCCCCAGACTGTCGCGACCAGGTCATAATTCCCTTTCGGAATCCGCCGAGGACGCATAACGCCGTTTGGATGCGGTGGAAAAAAAAAAAAAAAACGAATACACGCGCGATACATTTTCCCGTCCAGTGATTTCAACGTTCCCACTTTTTCATCATTTAAACTACGCCGTGATAGCGATATGCAGAATGTTGTTATCGCGGGCGCGGAATTGTGTACGGAAGAAAATGTCGGAAAGGTAACAAAACAGCCATTTGTACCGCGGATCCACGCGTGATGTATTATCCCGATTCGATGGAGTACTCATAAAATGCGGCCGAAAGTTGTTAATCCCATCGCGAAACGCGTACTTTAAAATATCTCTCAAAAGCGCGTAGTTTGAGGGGGAGGGATACGGCGATGGATCACAGTTTAAAACGCGATGGTACAAACGCGGAAAAACGATTCTCTCTGTTTATCTGTAATAACGGAAACACACGGCAATTATCCTAAAACAATCTCTCCCCCCCCTCCCCCCTCGTATCTATAGCATTGGAAATTGAACGCATACCAAAGTTATCGGTGTGTGTTTCAATTCTTGTTCAAAAATAGTTTATTTGTATCCTATTGACAGTTACAATTTTACATCCATCTCCCCGAGTTTTCGTGTAAAACTCCGCGTTCTCGTTTTCTACAAAGTTTCCGGCGCATTTATAAATCTACTCTTGTCGAATGGTAACAATCTCGTTGATAGAACGGTCATTCATTTAAACGCGTACGCGCGATGCGCGCCACGACCAATCTCTCTTTCCATTTTAACTCGCTCCATTTTAATTCAAAGATAGGTTTTTTTTATTTTTTAAATTATCCGTTTCCGCGTAACACGCATTCGCGCACGGAGTCGACGCGGAGTCCGTTTTGTCCCTCCGTGATACCGCGTTTCTCGTCCTTTTCGTAGATAAAAGCTCCGTCGTTTCGACGGTAAAGTTACGGGATCGAACGTGGAAAATGCGAGGGAAGAGGGAATCGGAGAACGGCCTTTGAGAATCGATACTTTCGACGTCGTTCGAAAGCGATGCCTTGCGAAACGAGTTACTCCCAGCTCCGAGTTTCTTCGCAAAAATTTCCCAGGTATTGTGTTCCTCGGGTAATTGGGTACTTTCAGCCTTATCCCGAGTCGAGGTTTCTCCCGAAAATAGCGCCCGTGCCGTCCCGACGAGAATCCGTTCGAAGATCTTTCTCTCTCTCTCTCTCTCTCTCCTTCTCGTCCCCTTCAAGGGAATGATGAGAGCGAACTTCGCCGGTTCGCTTAACCCCTTTTGCATGCGAAAAAGATGAAGCTGTGTGCAACCATATAACTACAATATATCACACTGCGAATTTCTCTCTCTCTCTCTCTCTCTCTCTCTCTCCTTCTCGTCCCCTTCAAGGGAATGATGAGAGCGAACTTCGCCGGTTCGCTTAACCCCTTTTGCATGCGAAAAAGATGAAGCTGTGTGCAACCATATAACTACAATATATCACACTGCGAATTCGAGGGAGGGCAAATATTCGATGACAAAGACGATTCCGAGTGCGTTTCTCAATATTTATTTTTATACCCCGATCGATAAGCCGGATTTTCGCATTTCCTGCACTACAACTGCAATCTAAGACGAAAATCCAGACGAATACGAGAAATACGGAACGTTTCTATGTGTGTGTGTGTGTGTGTGTGTGTATAATATATATATTTTACATATAGATTTGTATAGAAATGATAGGCGGAACGTGCGATAGAGAAATATACATAGATACTGCTCGGGATGCGAACAAATAAATGATAAATAAAAATAGACTCGAGACGGATAGAATGTTGATAAGTAATCGTGCTTTGTCGATAGCAATCGCAAAGGAATCTTCCAGGGGGGAATATATATTTTTGTGTAGATGATTATACTTTTAAATAGGAGCTCGTACTCATTTTAATAATGTAGAGAAAGGCGCAGGGAAGGACCTTCCGTGTTCGTTCACCTTGATGTTACGGGAATAATTTAACGCGACCTCTCCGCCGTCTCTCGTTATTGACGTGCCACTAACGCGGTAATGGATTCTTACTTAATGATGAGACCCGCTCGGATTTCTGCCAACAACCTATCGAAATGGCGGAATAGTTAGTTCGGCATCCCTGTACATCAACTCTCCCGGTATCGAGAGTTTCCATGCTGCCTGATGTTACCTTCACTAGTTACACCTCATTTACAACGGAAACGTTTAAGATACCTTCGAGTAATTCGATATTTTCCTTCCACTTTCTCGTGAAAAAATCGAGATTATATCTCGTACTATCTTAAATTGTATCAGTAAATATGTCACTGATTAAAGCAGTGATACAAGATAACATTGAAGATCAGTATTAATAAGATGAGTATTTACTCGATAAAAAAACAACTTTTTTTTTTAGCTTCTCCGTCTTTTATCTCTTTTATTTATATAATTATCATTATAATAAGATTTCGCCCAGAAAAATTAGTGATAATCATGCATATTTGTAAGATGTAGTTTTTAAGGTTTTTTCTATTTTTTTTAGATTGCTATTTTTTGGGAAAGTCCCCTTACATTTAGATCTGGAATGAAACATGTGTGTGTATAACTAGTATTCAAAATTTTGACTTATATATTTAGACATATATTTATTTACTTGTACGATGCGATAAACTCACGAATTATGAACAAGACTCTTGGTCAAAAAGTTAGATATTTCTTTAACAAAATATAGATCGCTATAAATTTATCTCATTATAATATATAAGATGTATCTTAAATTAACTTAAAAAAATATTATTAATCAAATCAAAAAGCTTATAATGATATTATTAAATTTAGACATCGTGTCCGCTCTAATTCCAGTCACACGTTTTAATTTTCCTCTCCGTCTACACTTTAGCTATCTTTTAAAGAGACTACTAACTTAGACTCGCTTAACTCCGACTCGTCGGTCTCAGCGAGATATCTCTAGTCTTTTTACCTTAGCAGAACTTGCATATCATGTGTCAAGCAAAAATCCAAGGCGTACGCTGCGGTAAAAGCTAATGCTTCTACATTTACTTGAGCTTTGACTACACGCGAGACAGTCCCGATTTAGCCTTCGTCTCTTTCTCGTCTTGTGAACGTAGATATTCATCCAGACACAAAACATTGGCGTCGCGAAATCCTTTTATAACGCGCTCTCGTCTGATCGAGACTCCGCTTTAAACATTTTATTTCTCGTCAAATATATTATCGTTGAACGATTTTAATTTTTCTGTGTTTTATCCAGAAATGACATGATTTATTAATTAATACTCGTCTCTAAAAATTCACGAAATGCATTTTACGCATATGATCTATTTACGTAGGTGTAAAACTAGCATGTTTTTTTTCCTTCGTTTTACAAGCCAATTATTAATTGGCCACGACTTTAATAAAATAAGAGATATCTATATATATACTATTTTTTACATAATAAATCGATCTTATCCACACATTTACGTAAAGTAATTTTTAATTTTAATATAACCTTTTTATCAATTTAATTTCCAGTAGATCGATAAAATTATTATTCAACGACTACGTGTGTATCAGACTCCATAATAACGTACGAAATCTGAGATGTATAATTATCGCATTCGACGCCTATGTCGCGAATTTCAGCCGTGATGTCTCGCTAAAAATATACTCGCTTCTGCATCCGTCTGAATCACATAAGGTCATCGATCCTAATGGATGTATAGGCCAATCTTTTTATTTTCCGGAGAAATTTTAATTTATGCATCAATTAAATAATGCCACTGTCAATTTTTTGATTTTTTCACACCATATCATCTCATTGATCGCACATCCTACCGATTCTCGTACGATGTACAGGACATACACTGTAAATTTTTATAGTTTTTAAAATGGGAGAGAGGATAAATATTTCAGCCGTGATGAATTAACGGAAATGTGACAAAATATTTCCGTTTTCAAATGTGTTTTTGAGAATGAAAAATTAAAAGTCCTCCACGCTATTTTGAAAGAAACAAATTTGTTTCTTTTTTTTTTTACAGATTATCAGCGAGTTTCCCACATCCGCCCATCGGTACGAAGCCATTCTGCAAAACAAACAGGTAAGAAAAAGCGCGTTGATCCAGTTTAACAGTCGCGCCATTCTTAAACGAGAATAATCAAGCTGTACAAGCTGTATATACGTATGTGCGGTTTAATTTACATGAGAAATATTTCTACATGTGCACACGTAATTCACGGGCATGAGTACCGGGTCTCGTGTTCTTGCGGGGGACGCGATTGCGAGGATCGTATTATAGTTCGCGAGAAAGCGACACGCGTCGTCTCTATTTCGAAATGGCTTATGAGTACGATTTCGGTCGACCAAATGTAGTCCCCCGGAATAATAGCTGGATGCATAGCAGCAACGGGGGAGTTCGCCGAATACACTTTAACCAGATTACATACGCCCCGGATTGCGAGAACCGCGCCGTTTTATGTACATGTACGCGCTATAATTAGAGAAATACTCGAGAATCCCCCCTCCTAAAAGTAAGCCGCTTTACTTCTTATCCGCAGTGATTCTCGGCAAATTATTGGATTTCGCGAAAGGACTTTTACATTATTACAATAATATCCTATTATAATTAATTCATGCATCGGTAACGATGTATTGATTTATTCATTTAACACGCACGATAACGAGTTTTGTAGAATATAAATATTAATTCATATCCCCATATGTTTAATTGACCCAGTATTGAATAAAATAAATTGAGAAAATGAGATATTAATAAGAATTAGTAATCAATATGGTCTTATAATAAGAAATATTAAATTATATTATAGTCTGAGTTATATTAAGCGCGAGGTGTAAATCTATCGCGACGATACTGCCATTGCCGCGTCGATAACAAATTTATAATGCATCCAGAGAGATAGAAAGAGAGAAAATGAGGTGCTAAAATATCGGCGAAATATATTGGATCTGAATAAACATCTGAAGAAAATCTGGTTCCAGCATTAATGGTATTTTTGCGTGTGTATACCCTCATCCACGAATGAAAGCAGCTCGTTTCGTATCATCGATACCCTCGTGGTATTTATCCCACGCTCATCTTCATGTATTGAGCTCTTTACGAGCAGTCGATCATAAATTTTTCGGAGTGCGTAGTGAATGCCTCCGGTGAAGGGCTATTCCACCAGCTTGGAGAGCCTATAACGATCGAGTTACTCTCTCCCGCATCCGCGTGAAGTAACTGCGTGCATTACGATTCTCTATCGCTGCCTCTCAAATAGAAGGACGTGGCATCGAGATGTTTGCACTAAGTACAAATGAATACGATAATAAGAACGAGATTAAATAACGACCCTTTAACTCTTTCATGGTTGCGTTAACCGTTCGGATACTGGAGGAGCGATAAAAGGTAAACGGGGGCGCGCAAGAGCAATACCTTATTTACCCAGGGAAAAAGTCAATGGAGAGGCGACCCTCACGGTGTGTAAATCAATTCTCCCTTTCCCTAGAGCGTTACGTGAATAAAGTTGAGAAATAGATTTGAGTAGAATATCTCTAGGAGATAGGTGCGCTCGCGCGCGCGCCCGTTCCTTCGACGTTAAATTTTTCTCAGAATACTGGAGCGAATGATCTCTCTCTCTCTCTCTCCCTCCTTCCGCCGAAGATAAAACGAGAGTCGACTCGAAAGTGGCGAGGGGAGCGCCCGCGCTAGTAGTATGGCGCAGTTTTTTTAAGAAGATGAATAAATGAGTACGACGACCTCGCAAAGTAACCCGGGCAGGGTCTCCTCTTCCTCTGAACCAGTCGCCTACAGGCGATTTCTGTCACCGTTTCTCCTTGTCTGCCTGCCTTACCCGCGTTACACAACATCAAATATTTCATGAGGCACGCGAGACACCGATCCGCTAAACAGACAGGCTTTTGACATATTCTCGGGCGAACGAGGTGTATAATCGTGTCGCGTTAAAAACAAACTTCTGGTGCTTTCGATGCGCATTAAACTTGTGTCCCTCCTGACTAAAAAGTAAAACGGAAATGTACAAGTGACCTCTCTCCCTCGCAAATGGATCCGCTCGTAACTTCCCTCGTAACCTTCCCTCCGCGATCGTGACGTTCGTTTTCCTTTTTCCCGCGATCAGTCCAGACGTATTCGGGAAATCGATATCGCAGGAAGCCAATATAGACACGTTCGTCCAACAGTTAAACCAGTTCTTACCGGGTAATGTTGGTTCGTTCATTCAACAGGCTGAGGAGAGCCCTGGGCTAGTCCCGCGCCAGCGGCTTTGGTTCATTGATTTTTACTGCCTTTTCTTCGGGATGAGGCACGCGAGGAAAACGACCGTGCACGCCCGTTTTGTTCCTTGTGCAACGCAATCATATATTCCGCTCGCCTTTGGCGAAAATAGAAAAAAAAGAAAAAAATAGACTGAGAAAAATAAATTAAATTGATTGATTAAATTTTCAATGTAATGTTATTAATTTTAACTCTATACTTTCGAATGTAGCAACGAAAAATGTTACGGGAAGAATGGATACTTTTATTTTTATGTGTCACAAGTTTATACGTTTGAATATTTTTGGCATCATAGAATTCTAGAATACAATGTATTGTGTCTTATTTTTATTTTGTTTTTCTTCTCTTTCGGAAAGGGAGAGATATAAATTCTTTTTCTATTCTCTATTTTTTATAATTTCCACTCAATCAATCACTTTTCGATGCACGGTTAACCGCCGAATGTCAATCTGTCAATACAAAATTCATCACCGAGCCGAATTTGCACACGATTCACACGGTTGGCAATCAATCAATATTGCAAAAAAGACGATAATGATACTTAAAATATTTCAGTCTTATATTTTTGGCGATAAGCGTGACAAATTCGAGGTTTGAAAAGTTCATTTTTTGTATTTTTCACGTTATTTTAAATCTTTGATGCTAAAAGAATAACGCAAAATTAACAAGATAAACTGTTCAGAAAACAGCGGTTTTATAAATACAAGAGCAATTATGAGCCGATAATTACCTTATCGAATAAATTAACACAAGACTAATCAAAGAGTAAGAATAGAATAAATCCATAATTTGAAATTTTTATTTTAGTATGTAATTTTGTATTTAAAATGGACTGTATAACTCTCTTAACCTGTATAACTCTCTTGAACTTCTCTCTCTTCTCTCTCTCTCTCTCTCTCTCTAGATAATTTATATTCCAATATTATTCTAATATGTTTAAAATGTAGTAAAAAAATATTACACAAACATTATTCATTGGCTAATAAAATTAGTTAATAACATTAACATTAGCTAATAACATTAACATTAGCTAACAAAATTAGCTAATAACATTAATATTAGCTAATATGTTAGACATATAAATTCATATATCACAATTTTTAGAAGATTAATCAAAAATTAACGAGTTAGAGGGAGTATACGTTGACTATTATAACAGAGGAAATTATGTCGCGAGCTAATCTAAAATGGACATTCATTTGACATAACTTATAAATGACACTGCAAACACAAATAGGTAGATTACGAGATTACGTATACATAAAATAAAAACAAGTCTGCAAAAAAAAAATGTAATTAGAAATCATTGAATCGACCATTCATACTTAAATATAGCGGAAAATGGGCTAATTCTGAGCTTAATCTCATTTTCAATAGCACGATGTAAGCTCTCGACACGTATTTCACGGAAAATTGTAAAATACAAGAATGCAGAACTTAATCGAAAAAAGAGAAAGAGAGAGAAAGAGAGAGGATTCAGAGCAAGAATAAAGTAGGCGCATAATGTGTAAGATTTACTTTAAATATGAAATGGTGTGTCTAAAGCGATTTTACAAATTAGAGATTTACACCTCTTTGGAAATCTTCATTTGTCTACCGTCGGATTTTCTCGAAATCGTGGTATACGAAGTTACCCGCACCTGTCTGGTCGTGGGACCGCGAAACAGGAACTTATACTACTGAAGTGGAGGCGACTGGATGAGGATAGCAGATAGCGCGCGCGCTATTTTACGGGGGTTAAATAAATAAGCGCGCCGACCTCTCATGATCCGGTTGAGAATGGCCTTCGGCCAGTCCCATTTCAGCGGCGGTTTCTGCCCATTGATTTTTGTCCGTTTTCCGTCCGCGTCGGGTGAAACGACACGCCATTACACCACTATGGCAATTACGCGACTACGTTAAGCATTTACTACGTCGGCTTTATTATCATAGCCAACCCGCGCTTTTGCTTTGCACACACATAACCCGCACACGTAACGAGCGCGACGGCAGTAGTAACGCGAGAGTGGACCATTATAAATTCATACTCCCAATATTGTCATAACCATGCCAGATTTTATTCCGAGACTTAATCATTCATTTACGGAATTACAAATACGAATGTTAGCCCCTTTCCGGAGAGATATATCTTGACAATCGTTTCCTCGTAAATCGCAGATTCTTGTACTCCGTCTCAGCTTCTTCGCCTTGTTGATCTACTTTATTTGCATCGGATCATCTTTCCAATTCACGAGCTGGAGGATCTACCGATGTTTCAAAGCATCGAAACTCGCGAAGCAGTTGAACGTAATGGTTATAAATATATAAAGACAAATCCGTAAACAGACGCGTTTTATTTAGACAGAAACATTTAAATAGAATTTTCGGTGATATAAAATTCTAGTTTGGTCTATTAAAAGTGATCACAGATTATTTCGTAATAATTATTCATTATTTTTTAATAATTTTTCATTAGAATTTTAATAATTTTTCATAATAATTTTTTATTATTGTTTCATAATAATCTTGAGTAATATAATTATATATATAAATATACATTATATCTAAGTATAAAGTTTTACTTAATTTCCGATTTTAAACATACGAGCGAACTTTGCGACGCTAAAATTAAAAATTCTAAAAATGACGGTATATTTCATCTCGCAAAACTGCATTCAATTGTTTGACGTTTCTTAATGCAGTATATAATAGAAATCCTGCTTCCTAGCTATTACATTTCTTATGCACAAACAAAATGTAACGAATTCTGTCGAGGAAAATGGAAATTCCAGAAGTTTCCGTATTTCTATTCCTGCAGAGCAACAGGATTT